GCATTTCCTAACAGAAATAGGTCCTGATCCCTGGATAAACTGCTTTTCAGCATCATCTCTGACTTTGATATTTTTGCCCTCCAAAATGTTTCCTGCATCTTAAAAAAGTTTACTGCCCTCTGTTTTGCTCTGTTAGATGCTGATCTTGGCATTTCGGCAGGATTTAGTGAGGTACGGTGTCTCCCTCTCTCTCCACCCTTCCCACCAGAGGCAGCTGAAGAGCACGGCTGTCTCACCAGACATGACTGGAGCCAATGAGGTTGCTTGCTCCCAGCCCTGCCCTCTGCCCTCTGCCCTCTGCCCAGGGCTGGGAGCCCTGTCCCGGCTGCCCTAGGAGCCACAGTGAGGGCCACGTGCAGCCCACTGCCACCCCTGCTTCTGTTGCTTCAGAGCCTGGACTGGTCCTTCCATGGTTCACGTGCTAGAACACCTGCCCTTACGCTGTCTGCGCAGAGCTGGGACTAGCACCCTTTTCTTGAATCTGTGTGCAACATGCTGGTTTACAGAGTCGCCACATCAGATAAGTCACTTCTAACTTTTCCCACACCCCCACACCCCACCCTATGTCAGGAATAACCTGAGCACATTTGTATTAACAAGCATATGTTGGGCACCAACCATGTGACAGGAACTCTCCTTGGTCCTGGGTTGTCAGGAAAACACAGCAAAATCCTGTTCTGGGGCCTTGGCGGAATAGGTCTAATGCAGTGTGGGGAGTGATGGACAAGAGGCTCCCAGGAGGAGGAGAGCACAGCCTGGGATGCTGACCACTGTGGCTGGACACAGACAGTGGGGAGGACTGCTGAGGGCTGTGGCTGGCAGCTGTGCCGAGGTTGGCGTGGAGAGCCTTGGGTTCCATGCTACCCCTCTCTGGGGGCAGTAGGTAGGTAGGCAGGCAGCAAGGCGGTAAGGTCAGTTCTGCATTTGGGCTTCTAGCCTCATGCTGAGGCCCTGCTGGTGGAGGTTTGCAATGTTTTAGGTAGGAGAGATGAAGGGCAGGGCAATGGGAGTAGAAGCGTGACCAGGATCTCTTGGTGAGAATTTAGATGTGGAACCAATAGGGGTTGAGGCTGAACACTGAGGCTGAGAGAAAAGGTGGGCTCAGGAAAAACGGAGGGTGCTTGCTTAGTGGTGGGTGGGGATTCCATGGCTAGAATGAGGAAATCCATGAGGAGGGGCACAGTTTGAGGGACAGACACAATGACTTCATTGAACTCTGGCACCTTCAGGCAGTTAGACTGACATAAGTCCAGTAAACCAGAGGCCATTGGCACTAATGAGTGCCAATAGGAATCCCAAATTTGGAGTGCGGTGAAGAAGGAAACTTTTGTCAGTGCAAAACAGCTTAGTTGTGATACAGCACAGGTGTGAAAATAGCAAGGCTATAAAGGCAGCCCTGTCGCTAGGACCCTCTCTGGCTATAGAGCGCAGCTCTGCCCAGTGGTCTGCTTTGCACTGCGCTGGTCTGCTCTGCTCTGGTGAGACATTTTTGGTGTTTCAGCTCAGCTAGGAAGACCCAGCCTCCAGTGGAAAGGGAACGTGCACTCCCCAGACCAAGGGGTGCTGACTGATATAGACAAGAGCCCCTCCCTGGTCCCTGATTGGCCCATCTTCAGCCAAATGGGGACTCCAAATCCTTGCAATTTTATTGGCCCAAAAGGCACTGTCCTGATTGGTCAGAATAGAGCCACTCTGACTGGCCAGAGCTGCTCACTCTGATTGGATGAGGAAAGCCTCAGTCCTATTGGTTGAATAGGATTCCAGGGACTCCTTTATAAGGGCTGGCTCAGCCGGCAGAAAGGCCTTGCAGGCAGGCACCTCAGTATAGGCTTCTCTGTGAAGTACAGTTTGTAGTGAGGCCCCTGTGCAGAAATGGCTGCTCGGCTCTGTTTTTTAAAATTTTAGCTCAGTTAGCCACCAGGAGCCCTTCTTAGTAGGGGTCTTTTTTTTTTTTTTTTTCCAGGGTTCACAGCCTACTGCTCAGAAGGGAAGTTGGAAGCACAGAGAATTTAGAGTCACAGCATAGAAGCAGTTAGAGACAGGGACTGTGAAAGTGGTCATGCTGGCCAGGGAGGCATGGGGGCCACAGTACTCAGACAGCTGTGGCCATGCCCATTCTGGAGAATCAATGAAAGATTGAATCCCCCAAACATCAGGATTGTGTGCCTCACAGGAACAGGGAAGAACCAGTCCTGCCGCAAGGCAGTGCCTGGGTGTCTCACTACACCCAGGTCCTTCCCAGCCACTATGGGCAAGTTGGGCCAGGATTGTACAACATGCGTGTAAGTGGTGCTTTCCAGTGTCCTCTGTGTCAACAGAGCTAGTGAGTTGGTGGTGGGAAGGCCAGAGTGGCAGTGCCACTGTGCCCTGCACACGGGGTGAGCAGAAGTGTGCATGTTGAAATGGCATGAAAGTGCACAGAGGGAGGCAGAGCATCGAAACAAAAGTGCACACTGGCCATTCCTGCTCGCCCATGTTGTCCATAATGCCAAAGGGACCACATAGCGTCAGAGCTGATGGGTCTTACAAGACTGCTTTTGAGCACAGCCCTCTTAGTCTGCGGACCAAAGGAAATGGAGTCTGTCTGTGACAAAGTGATGTTTTCTTTAGTGCACCTGGTTGAGGCCAGTTTTCAAGATTAAGCAAGTTCTTTTTTTCTACCCTTTAACACATCTTAGCTCGATGGGAATATCAACTTCTCCACGTGGTAACTAACAAAAATACTTCCATCACAGAAATAAATGTTATATTTAATTTTTAGAGTTTTGATACACAGATTTCAAATAGAACAAGAAAGATAATCTGTCATTTTGCAAATTTAACCCAATGGCTGCAGCAGGCTTTCCCAGCCTTAGAGCTGTTAATGTTCTTTGTCAGGTAATGCTTGGGGGAGGGGGGACTACTGTGCATTGTAGGCTGTTTTAGCAGCATCCCTGGTGTCTACACATTAGATGCCAATAGCCCCTATTTCCCAGTTGTCTTCAGACATTGCCAAATGTCTCCTGGGGGACAAAATTGTCCCTGATTTGGAACCCCTGGGCTGGGGGCTGACTGTCTCTTATGCAGCCCCCAGCCTCTTCCATTCTTTTCTGATCACAGCCCTTGGATTGTAGTTACCGCTGTGCCCCAGTTCTCTAAAACTGAGGCCTGTTACAGCCTATTGTGCACAGTGCAAAGCCTGCCAGGAAGAGTGCTGCTGGAAGCAAACTGGTGTTTTTCCTCATTGAGCTCTGCAAATCCTCATGTGTTCCATTTAATTGGTTAGTGGAGGCTGTTTGTCAGTTTGCCAGCAGGTTCTCTTAGCTCCTGTCGTTTGACGTTGCTGAAACACAAACGCAGGGAGACTGAGTTGCCGACATGCTATTAAGTCCTTCACACAGAGCTTTTCCATGTACTCCTGCTTCGGGCACTTGTGCCTGTATTGACTGATTCAAAGACTAAAGAAATCCTTGGCATGGGCGGCCCTAGGGAGAAAATGCAGCTCTGTTAGGAAAATTGTTGCACGTTCACATGGGACAGTAGTTGAGTTGCCGACATGCTATTAAGTCCTTCACACAGAGCTTTTCCATGTACTCCTGCTTCGGGCACTTGTGCCTGTATTGACTGATTCAAAGACTAAAGAAATCCTTGGCATGGGCGGCCCTAGGGAGAAAATGCAGCTCTGTTAGGAAAATTGTTGCACGTTCACATGGGACAGTAGTTGAGTTGCCGACATGCTATTAAGTCCTTCACACAGAGCTTTTCCATGTACTCCTGCTTCGGGCACTTGTGCCTGTATTGACTGATTCAAAGACTAAAGAAATCCTTGGCATGGGCGGCCCTAGGGAGAAAATGCAGCTCTGTTAGGAAAATTGTTGCACGTTCACATGGGACAGTAGTAGGTTTTTGTTTGATTTTCCCTGGCATAGAATTGGCCTTTGGCAAAGCTTACACAGTTGAATGGGTGTTGGCCACCAGTAAAGAAGACGAAGAGAAACCCAGGTGGCCACTGGCCTTTATGAAACAGGTCCAGCTAAGTGAGAGGAGCCCAGGAAGTAGACAGTGACATCAAGTTTCAGGTAGTTTGACAATCTTCTTAATGCTAAAATGCATAACATTGCCAAGAATTCAGAGCTAGTCACTGTCTGAGACCAAAGATGGCAAATCACCTTTGGAAGGTTAGCTAACCTTTGACAGGGTAACAGGAACATCCTGTGACATTAAGAGGATAGTTTTATGCTCTGCAAGTTGTATTTCAGGACCAGGCTGCCGTAGGCATAAAAAACTGAATCATGGTCGAGAGGTCTGTGACAGCCGGGGACCACTTGTTAGAACTTGCGGTGCACTGAGGACCGCTGAGGGGTGGCCTCCGCCTCCTCCAGCGGCTGTCCCTGGGGCTGTGCACCATAGTCGTGTAGCGTGAGTGGGAAGGGCACAGTAGTCTGTGCAAGCCTCTTGCCTCAACTTGAAACCCCCTTGAGGCGTGTTCTGAGTTGCTGTGAAGTTTCGGGGATTAAGTAAGGAGAATTTTGTTGGAAGATAACTGTTGGAAATCTGTCAGGTAGAAGTAGCACCCAATGGAGATCCATTCGGCCCAGAGCGGATGAGAGCATCCTGGAGTCCAAGCCCAGGAAGGAATCCTGCCCTACCCTCACAGGCGTGGGGCTTCTGGCCAGCGACCATCCCTCTCTCCGTGCCTTAGATCCCTCACCTGCAAATGAAGATCATTTAGCTCCTGCTTCGGGGTCCTTTTCCATGGAGTGAGCTGGGGCACCCTAGGCCGGGCAGTGCCTGGCCCCTGCCACACATGATCGGAGAAGGAATGGCCATCATGGGCACCTCTCGTGGACCCACCCTCTTGTCCGTGGGCTTGCGTGTTCCTGTGATGGGGGTCCGCTCCTTTGAAATACTCCCCGCTCCAGGGCATTCTGCACGTGCCCAGGACACGGGAGCCCCAGGCTCTGGGCCACCCAGGCGGCAGGAAGGCCGGCTGAGTAACCGGTGCTGTGTTTCGCTTTCAGAATCCTGCCCAGCTTCCTTACGGCAAAGCCCTGTACAGCTATGAGGGGAAAGAGCCCGGCGACCTCAAGTTCAGCAAGGGGGATGTCATCGTCCTGCGGCGCAGGGTGGACGAGCACTGGTTCCACGGGGAGCTGCGCGGCGCCCACGGCTTCCTGCCCGCCAGCTACGTGCAGTGCCTCCGGCCGCTGCCGCCGGCGCCTCCCCAGGGCAAAGCCCTGTATGACTTTGAGATGAAAGACCGAGACCAGGACCAGGACTGCCTGACCTTCACCAAGGTAAGGGGGCTTCTTGGGCACAGTCATCGCCCAGAGCCCGGGCCCTCCTGTGATTTGAATCGCACTTTGCCCGGGGCCTGCGGCCTGCTGGGCCTCCCTAAGTGGGAGTGGAATTGTGTCCGCCCCCCGAGGAGATTCTGTTGGCTGGAATGAGATGGCTCACAGCCCAAAACATGTGGCTCCAGGAGTAACAGGGCGCTCTCGGAGCAGGACTTCCGTCACCCGAGTCCTGTATCTAAGTGGTAACTCAGGTGCAGAGAAAGGAGGTTTTCCCAGGTTCCCAGCCCCTGAGAGAGGGCTCATTGAAGATCCCCTTCAGGTCACAGTCTGGGTGACCTGCATGTCACCCTCTCATCTTCTGGAGTACCAGGGGGAGGGTGGACAGGAGTGCTTGGGTCCCAGCCTTGCCAAGAGGGACCCTGGCTAGTGAAAGCTGAACAGTGTTTACCAGTGGAGTTGTCCTAGGAGAGCAAGTGAAAGGCCTTGCAGATTATAAAGCATCAGAGGAGAGTGACAGCCCTGAGGCCCCTTCCTATCCATTCTCACCCGCGGGTTCCACTTTCCTTGTTTCCAGGGGAGGGTGGCAGGGGCCCTGGAAGCTTCTACTCATACCTGGCGACAATGAAGCAGTGTCCATAGGTTTGTCACCTGTGCTGGGGCTTTATCTTCCCAACCACAAGGTTCCGAGGGAAGTGATTGGAGCCTGTTGTCCACCTAAGAAACATCCAGGCTATAGAGAATTTTTGTAAGAGTTTATTTGAGCCAAAAGGAGGTCATATGCCAGGAGCAAGGCCTCAGATACTTCGCAGAGTAACAGCTTTGAGGTTTACTGTATGCACTTGAAATTAAGGAGAGAACATAAGGGAGGTTACATGGAGGTGGAAGAAAGCAGGCGGGGACTGGATTACAGGACAGTTCACAAGATTACGTGCTCTCTCCAGGGTGGTCACAGTTTATTCAAAGGTGTATTATCGCAGATGCACAAAAACCATGCACAGTGCTGGCTGCAGGCAAAGTGAGGCCTTTTAGTAAATTAAAGAAGTGATATGCGTGGGGTGTGACCTGCCAGTTAGGAATTTCTGCCCAGATCACCCTGTGAGGTTACTTTCCATAGAACCCCTTTTTCCCATCGTCAGTCTCCCTGACTTATGCGGGGTGGGTAACTCGGGCCCCTCCTTCCCCCTGCGTCTCCTCCTCCCCTCCCTCCCCCCCATCCCCCCCATAAGGCTGTAAATAGCGGCTGGAATCCTAACTCACCTCTGGCTTGAATGCCCACATCCTTCCCCCTTCTGGGAGGACATTGTGTCTGTCTGTCTCTCCATCTGCACAGTGCGCAGTGCGACTGTGGCACTGAGCTCTCTGTGCGGCTGCTGGGGCGCCGCACGCTCACTTCTGAGCAAAACTGGCATGTCCAGCACATGGCCGCTATTTGTCTTGTTCCATTGTTTAGCCTGACAGTGAATAATCTGTTTTTCATTCGGCACTCACCTCTTTCTTCCTTCCTTTCGTCAAGGTGTTCTGAGGCTGATTCCAGTCGTCCTCTGGCTGATGCAGCCTCCCAGGAAGCCAGCACACAGCCCTCCCCCCAGCTCTCTCTTCCCCCCTCTCTCCTCTCCCTTCCCCTCTCTCCCCTCTCCCTCTCCCCTTCCCCTCTCCTTCTTTCTCAGTCTGAGGTGGAGGCTGCCCAGTGTCAGGCAGACAGAAGCCCTGTGGTGCTCACTTCTCTGACCAGTGACCTCTCCAGAGCGGCCCCGAAGATGAACCCTCTGGGAGCCCGATGCTCTGTGCTGTCACTGTGACCAAGAGCAGGGACCCCCAACGACCCCTCAGGGTCTGCACAGGCCCCTCCTAGCCTGCGTCCAGGCTCCAGAATTTCATTATTAGAGAGCTGACTGAGAGTGGGCAGCTGCCAGAGGCCTCGCCTGCCCCTCCCCTCCCCAGGGTGCCAAGGCTGGCGCTTCCTACGCTGTATCGTCCATTCTTTCAGCCTCTTCCTGGGACTCTCAGCTGCAGGGTAAAGACCAGAGCCCACTGGACACGAGGACAGAGGGGCACTGTCTACTTCACAGAAGTGTAACAGGCCCTGCCCTGCTGGGAGCTGTGCTGCATCGGGAGGGTGCAGACCACTCACTGTTCCCAGAGCCTGAAGTCTAATGGGAGAGACAGGCAACAGCAAGTCGAGGAAGAAGTGATCAGAAGACAGTTTCAGAGAATCGTGAGACACGCTGGTCACCCAGGAGGCAGACCTGGTGTGTGGTCAGTGCTCTAAAATATTCAGGGATAGAATTTAATATTTGATACTTAAAAACCACATTAAAGTATTCCTCATGGGAAACTAGAACTGGTTGGTGGTGTTTTTACTTTGAATTATGTTGGCGGG